ATTTATTAATTTTATTTATTACACAGGTCGAAATGCTAAAAATCAGCAAAAAAATGGCATGAAAAGCAGTAGATATTCTTGGTTATTCTTGGCTATTTTTAGCTATTCTTGGCTGTTTTTGGCTATTTGCGAATTAACCTATACTATTTGTAAATAGTTTATATAAATTTGCGAATAGTTTATGCAATTCTAGCCATTTTTTTTTGCCTGTTTTTGGTCATTCGACGTGTGTTATATTTTATTTATTATTATTAATACATCTATTTATTATATTCCATGCATTATTATATATTCTTTTTAAAGCTAATTAATCAAAAGTATTAAATAAAAATAGCTTCAATAATTAAATACTAAAATGTGTCTAATTTTATTAATTTTAAAATTATTATTACAATTCCCATTAGTTGCATCAAATTTTGGTATTGACTCCATATCTAAAGTCCAAAGCCAGATATCTATAAAAAAAATAAAAAAAAGCATCATTAATATCTTTGAATAAAAACAAAATCAAAGAAATTTCTTTAAATAAACAGTATGTACCTGATCTCATGTCAAAATATCTGATCTCAAGCAATATCCAAGTTTAAAGTTAATATCTACAGGAGAGAATTAAAAATGCTATTAGTTTTATTCTTTTAATTAAGTTTTGTTAAAAAAATTATTATTAAAAGTAACCCCATTACCAACTTTCACATGTCTAATATCCAAATAAACAAGCCCATCTACAAAAGAAAAATTGAACTGTTAGAAATAATTCATTAACAAAATAAAAAACGAAAATTATTTAACCTCACTGAAAAACTATTCTCGCCAAATTTTACGTCTAAAAAGCTGAAGAACAACCCTCTAAAAGAGAAAAAAAGAAATAAGTAACTGTTTAAAAGACACAAGCCCCCCTCTCAATTTACCATTCCAAAGTTCCAGACTGAAGTTCGCCGTCTTTAAGAAAAAAATGAAAAGGAACATTAGTATTAAACATTTCTATAATAAAAAAAATATGTACTGTACTCCTCAACTTACCATTCTATGCTAAAAACTAAGTCCAAAGAAAAAAAAAATATATATTTTTTTAAAAAAATTATTTGATTTAAAAACTGATAAAAAATCACTCAGGCTAAAAAAAGTTTCTTTTTAAATAAATTCAGAAAATAATTTTTTAAAAAAATATTTGATTTAAAAAAAAAAATGATTTATAAAAAGGAAATAAATTTTTTTAAATAATTCAGTTAAAAAAAAACTTTAAAAAAAGATTATCAATCGGTAAATCAAATCAATAAGTCATATGATCTATGCTGAAATTGCAGATTTATCTGTAGTATGTAATGTTTCGATAATATTATAATAAAAAAAATACAGTTTGGTAGTAATGTTTATTAATATTAAAAAGAATATAAAAATATTTTTCTTTTACTCACCAGTATTTCACAACATCATTTCTAGAAAGACTCAAAGAAACTGCTAAAAAAAAAAGAAAATAAAAAGTTAATAATGATATTCGTTAAAATAAAAAATTATATATGTATATATATTTTTAATTACCAAATTCCCATGTCCATAGTCTCAAAAAATACCTAAAAAAAAGAAAAAAACAAACAATTAGAAATGTTCATTAAGAAAAAAGAAAAAAAAAATTTTTTTTAATACCTGTCATTCCCATCAACACCCAGAGAGATTTTAAGAAACTGCTTAAAGAAAAAAGAAATAAAATGAATATTTAGTAATGTTCGTTAAAATAAAAAAACTATAAAATCATTTTTACTTATTGAATATTCATGTTGAAAAAATCTAAGGAAAATAAAACAAACCAATTAATAAATTTTAAAATAAAAAAAAAATAAAAAAATCATTAAAAAATTTTTTTACTTACTCAATTTCGTTTATGTTAAGAGTCTCAACCTAATACCTAAAAAAAAGAAGACAAACAATTAGTAAATAATATTCATCAAAACAAAAAATTTTTACTCAATATATATATATATATATATATACTGCATTTCTATATTGAAAAAAATTCTAAAAAAAAGAAAAAAAAATGAATTAGTAATGTTCATTAAAATAAATAAAGAAAAAATAAAAAAAAATACCTACCAAAATGCCATCGACCAAAGAGCTTAAGAAGCTATCTAAAAATATAGAAAAACGTTAGAAAGTTTTTAAAAAAAGCTTTGAAAATTAAATCGAAAAAAAAATGTTAATTTCCAAAAAAATATTCTATATTAACATTGGAAAGAGGAAAAAAAAAGAAAGTACATAGAGTGAAAGGGGAAGAGAAAAATATATAGGAAAGAACGTGTAAAAGGGGAAACATATGAAGAGGAAGGAAAATTACATGTGAGTGGTAAAGAAAAGATATTGTTAAAGTTTATTTTAAAAAAAGAAACCATTTTTTTTGAAATCGAACAAGTCATATGACATCAATAATTTTGTAACACATATTTGTAGATCATTTTACGTGAAAAGTAAAATTGATTTTTAGTATAGAATCCTTAAAGATTTTTTATTGGAAATCCTTATGAATCCTATAAGCTGCAGAATCCAAAAAAATCCTTAAAATTTGTTATAGGATTTTTGAGAAATCCATAAAATACTGGATCTCTAAAGATTCTATAGTAATTTATAGAATCCTTAGGGATCCACATCCCAAAAAATTTACTGATGTATTTCTTTGTTTCTTCAGCTTATTACAATTTGAAAGAAAATGTACTATGCTTATTTTTGTTTTATAAGAAGTTTTCAAGTATTTATAACTTCTGGATTCCATTTCCAATAGCCAGATTCTTTTGTAATACGTTTAAATATAACCTGAAGAATCGATTTTTATATCTATATAACAAACAATTATGTCAGTGTTATGACCGTTACATCATTTAAAATTACTTGAAAACTTGATGATTTACTTAAATTTTATTTGTTATTTAAGTAAAAATAACATTTACCAATCGTCATGTGATTATTTGAAAATTGGAAAGTCTGCTATGCTTTAATAAAGATCTGATATAGAAATACACCATGTTTTACATTCTATAAGAATATTTCACCTGAACTTAAACTTTTTATATCAGATAATATTAATTTACTTTCACGAGAAATTTACAAGCAGCTTGTTGAATGTAGTTTAGATCTTAATATTCATCAAAAACAAATACATTATTGGTAGACAGCAATCGGACAGCATAAATACAAACGAGATAAAGATCCTTTTATATCTGCTTAAAAATGGCTTAAAGAAGGTTCATATCATGTTATATTTCAAAAAAACTGTCCAAATTCTCTTGATTTTTTAACAGAATTATGGAATGTATTGAAGAATTCTCAATTCAAAATACATGAAATTGGAGTTGATACTATATGTAAGTATTTTTTTTTGTATAATTTAATTATAATACATTTGATAAATTATATTTATTCTTTTTTAAATAATACGAATAATTTGAAGTTTGAGTAATTGAGTTATATGTAATACATGCCGAAATTAGGGCTCTGATCGGTTTCAGTAATTACCGAACCGAACCGATCAGTTTCAGTATCGGAACGGTTTCGGTATTCTGATTTACCGAACTGAACCTTTCAGTAAATTTACTGATCAGTTTTGGTAACTTCAGTTTTGGTATCGGTTTTGCGATTTACTGAACCGATTTACCGAACTGATATTTTCGGTATCAGTTTCTACTGATCACTTCGGTAAATTTTACTGATCATTTCGGTAAATTTACTGAACTGATTTGCTGAACGTTTCATGACGTTGATAAAAAATGTCATGAAACATTTTTTTTGACAATTTAATAAAAATGTTGCGAAACGTTTTTATTAGTTAATTTATTTAAAAAAAATGTTTCGCAATGTTTTTTTTGATAATTTAATAAAAATGTTGTGAAACGTTTTTATTTGTTAATTTATTTTAAAAAAAACGTTTTGCAACGTTTTTTTCCATAACTTAATAGAAAACGTTGCAAAACGTTTTTTATTAGTTAATTAATTAAAAAAAACGTTTTGCAATATTTTTTTTTGATAATTTAATAAAAATGTTGCGAAACATTTTTATTTGTTAATTTGTTTTAAAAAAAACGTTTTGCAACATTTTTTTTTGATAATTTATTAATAAAAATGTTGCGAAATATTTTTATTTGTTAATTTATTTAAAAAAAACGTTATGCAACATTTTTTTCATAACTTAATAGAAAATGTTGCGAAACGTTTTTTATTAGTTAATTAATTAAAAAAAATGTTTTGCAATATTTTTTTTTGATAATTTAATAAAAACGTTGCAAAACGGTTTTATTTGTTAATTTATTTTAAAAAAAAACATTTCACAACGTTTTTTTTCAATAACTTAATAGAAAACGTTGTGAAACATTTTTTATTGGTTAATTAATTAAAAAAAAATGTTTTGCAACATTTTTTTTTGATGATTTAATAAAAACGTTGTGAAACATTTTTATTTGTTAATTTATTTTTAAAAAAAACGTTTCGCAACGTTTTTTTTAATAACTTAATAGAAAACGTTACGAAAAGTTTTTTATTAGTTAATTAATTAAAAAAAAATGTTTCGCAATGTTTTTTTTTGATAATTTAATAAAAACGTTGTGAAATGTTTTTATTTATTAATTTGATTAAAAAAATGTTTCGCAACATTTTTTTTCAATAATTTAATAGAAAATGTTGCAAAACGTTTTTTATTAGTTAATTTAATTTAAAAAAATGTTTCACAACATTTTTTTTCAATAATTTAGCGAAACGTTTTTATTAGTTAATTTAATTAAAAAAAATGTTTTTGCACGTTTTTTTAATAAAAAACGTTGCAAAAACGTTAAAAACTGAACTGATAATGAATCAGTAAATCAGTTCAGTTTTCAGTATTTACCAGTCAGTTTCGGTAATTAACAATACCGATACTGATCAATTCGGTTCGGTTTTAGTTTTGGCAAAAACCATACTGAACCGAACTGATCAGAGTCCTAGCCGAAATCGATGGCATGAAATTTTTATTGGCATATTTGTTCATGAAGAATAATGGAAATTGTGGCAATAGAATACATACTGGAATCTTAATTGACTTTCTAGTACAACTAAAAGAATGTGATGAATTAGAATCAGAGTTTTTTATAAGTGATAAGAATTTTGTTCAAATATCAGCTATTCATTTTATTTGGAAAAACATAAAGGTACAACTCTATCTTTGGTATATTGAAAAGGCAGTAAAAGTAAGACTATCAAGTAATAAAAAACCAATACAAATTAACTATAATGGCGAGGTAGTACACAAATTATGATTCTCTTTTATTGATCCTTTATTTTAGCCCATAAATTTAACTAAGAAGAAAGTTATTTTTTGTCCAAAAGAATTATGTTCTATAGTCTGGAAAAAAATAAATAAACATTTACATGAACATTCACTTATTTCAATGGCCAATGGACAGTTTCGTTTATTAAATCAAATTTGGAAAGAAGCTGTAAAAGAAATTTATGATTTTTGTTAGCAGCATTTATTATCATGGCTTTGAGTTTATCTGTAAAATGAATGGTATAGTGTAGACCAGTGGTTTCTATGGTTTTGGGTAGGATGTAGTAATAAATTTTCAATTATGAAAACTAATATGTTTGTGAAAGTTTACTGAAAAGTACTAAAGCATGATTTTCTATACAAATTCTTTCACTCGTGTCTGGATTTAGTTGTCTTTATTATCATGAAGCAAGTGGTTCCATATAATGAAAAAAATTTAATCAAATTTTTGTTGTAAAACGAGAGAAAGCTGATTGGTAAAAAGCATTCAAAAGGGAATGGAAGGAACTTTCATTACGAGTTCTTAATAATGACTTATATTTAACTAACATTAATAATTGGTTTTGTGGATACCTATCTTTTCTTACTAGCCATTTTTTAATTTGTAAATATCTTATGCAACAAAAAGGAATAGTGAATACTTTATTTTTTGATATAGTTTATCGTTATCATCAATATCCTTTTATTAATACAATATCTTCTCAAATTATTGATTTTGAATGATCTAATACTCATAATTTACAAATAGCATTAATTTTTGAAGTTGCTGAAGATGAAAATTTACAAGTTTGTAAAGAGATATATAAAAGACTTATTAGTACAACAGAAAAAGTACTTGATATTCTTAAAGGTAATTGATTTATAATTAATTAAATTAAGTTTAATGTAATTCTTTATTAATGGTCTAATAGATCAACAAGATAAAGGAAATTTTAAATGGGTGAAAAGTGTTGAAAAAAATGTTTAACCAATTGAAAAAATGTTGACTGAAATTATAGTTTACAAAAGAAGAAGAACAATAGTTCGAACCTTTAAAGATAGTTCTTATAATACTTTATTTTTTAACTACTAACAATAAACTAACTACCATGTTTAGATTTTTAATGCATCTTAATTGTAAATGGTATTTCAGTCATAGTTATTTACTTATGCAAAAGTAGTTTATTTATTAGTTTAGATTATTTTAACAGGAAGCAAAAGTTTTATATGAATTGGATGATATTAGAAATTTGTAATTATGAAATTTAGGGATATAGAAACAAAAAAACTATATATCAAACTTCTGTGTGATATGAAAGGTTTTCAATTTGTTTTTTTAATGGTTTTCTTAAAATTTTACATTTTTGCTTATAAATACTATTAAAGATTTATCCAAAAAGGAGAAAAAATTAGCACGTAAATTTACAAAATTTTTATGTAATAAGAAAAATTTAAAATTTCTAATATAAATAAAAATGTTAAGATCACAGGTCAAAAAGTGAAAAATCAGTCACCAATTGGTGACTGATTTTTCACTTTTCGACCTGTGGATTTATTATACAAAAAAATTTTTTTTACAAAAATATTAATTTCATTTTTACGAAAATATTAGTAATTTCAAACAATTAATTTTACTTAAAATTACAAGTCACGTGGGAATGGAAAATCTTGGAGTGATGCTGAGGTAAATGGGATAAATCATTTTTAAATTGTCACATGTGCAGCTATGAGTTCAAAAATACTATTATAATTATCTGAGAGACACAGAATTTTTTCAGTATCAAAAACTTATTTGTTACCCCTATGACACAAAAAATTACACCTGCAAAACTTGTGTACTATCTGAGTTTCACTATTTATATTTATCTGAAAGACTTTGCCAGTTTTTTTTCAAAATGAAATCCTATTTGTCACATATTTTTCATCACACCTAAATTTTATGAAGGAGAAAATACTGAATTAAACATATATTTTGATATTGAATTATCAACATTAGTTAATGCAATTTTAAAAAATAATAGTAGTGATAATATTGAAAATATTAATTGTAAAATTGGGCATTATATATTATTTCTTATAGTGAGAAAAAGGGCTCTCTTCTTCTTGAAAAACAACCAACAAACATTTATTGTTAGATAAAAAAAGTGATACTTCCACTTATTTAAAAATGGTACTGGCATTGTAAAAGGTTAATAAACATTGAAATAATATCAAGTTTAAGCTAAATGTCATCTATGGTTAAAAAAATATTTGGCCAAATTTTAAATTATTGGAAAAGATGAATGATAATATTAAAGCACTAAAAAATCGCCAAACTACACTAAGAATTTGGAGAGATTTGGACCATAATGCAATGTATTAGGAATAATATTATATCATATTTGTAAAGTATCAAAATAATTAAACAAAACTATTTTAAGAAAGTCAACAATTATAATATTAACAATCTATTAGCAAAAGAAAGTAAGATATAATACCTTAATAGTTTATTATAAATAAATATCAATGTACTGTATAATTACCAAAAATAATCATCCGAATCATGTGCACAGATGTGTAACCTGTCACGCGGAACGAAAATCGTTTTTTTAAAAAGAAATAATTCTCGAATAAGCTGATCAGAAATAATGTCTCGACATAGAGTGGTTAGAAGCCTGAATGCTGCAGGTAATTTATTGTATGCTTTGACTTTATATGCTAATTTAATTAATTCTCCTTCAGATATACTTGCAGAAACAGAGAATTATGACTATGATTATGACGATTATGATGATGGTAACTACAAATTTCTTTCCTAGGTTGATATTTCAAATATAAATTAATTAATTTTGATTTAATATTCTAAGAAAATTATGAAATGACTCCGGAAGATAAAGGTTTGACAAATAGTAAAATGAATTTTGATTGAATCGAAACATTTATACTGTTATAAACATCCTAGCACAAATGGACAAAGGGAAAATGTTTGTTAGAAATGTTATCGGACAAGTAGAAGGGATATCTGATAAAGATATCGAAAATGCTTTATGGAATTATTATTATAATACAGAGGATACAATAGCGTACTTATTAGGTACGTTAGTTGTTTGTATTGGTATAGATTATGTTTGAGTTCCATCGTGATCTCTACGGTAATAACCATTAGAATTAATTTTGTTCTTAGACGAGGTTCATAAATCCAAAGCAAATAAAAAATCACAAAAGAAATTGGGTTCTAATAAAACTATTCCCGTAAAGAAAGGTGATTCGAGTCTTTATCTCTTATTTTACTTTATTTTTTTTTAGAAGTGGATGGCGGTTATTTTATTCTATTATTAAGAATGACTAATATTAATGAAATTACAAGCAAATAATTTTCTTGGTCATTCACATTAACCGAGAATCTTCTCTCGGCTTTGATCTTCTCAAACTCAACAGATCTATTGTCTAATGTGGATCATGGGAAACGATATCCGAGCCCTGTGGTCTTTGGTGCAAATCAGCGAAATCCTGAAAGTCACCATTTATTAGAAAACAAAACTAGAACTATTTTTGCAAATTGTGTTTCCCCCAATGACATTTGGATGGGACATGACGTAAAATGGTGTAGTCTTACTCCTAATAAATTAATGTTTGCAGAAAATTCAATTCATGAAATGCAACAAAATTTGCATTATGGCGGGTTACTAGGTGGTGCAGATTCTGAAAAGCCCAAATCAACACAATCGAAACTCTCGAGTTTGCATAGCCAGTTGGATTCCACTAATGATATGTTTTCAACTAGAACGACAAATGAACATAAACGTTTCTCAGTCAGAATTAATAATAATATTGATAGCCAGCTCAACGTAGGAGAGTCTTCATTTTCGAAACCTGAGATACGCTCATCTGAACTATCACTGTCATCTCTGGCTCAGTTGAATATGAAACAATCAATTAGGCCATCATTATCTAGCATGGCAACAAATACCACGTTAAAATTAGAGTCATCCAAATCTCAAACTTCTTCTAGCTTGCAGTTGAACAGTCAAGCTCCATCTTTATCATCTCTAGCTCAAAAATCTATTTTACAGTCTTCTGGACGTGTTTCTTTAACTAGACTTGCGTCAAAAAAATTAGATAATAGATCCCCATTGCAAAAAACAATGACCCCTATAATTTCCAAACAATCAAAAACTTTATCATCTGATACAAATTGCTTGCATGATTCAACAACATTATCTTCATCAAGCGAAATAGTTAATGAGGTGTCTCAGACTATAATGAATGACCAAATTTCAGAAATTACTCAATCTAAGGAATTCATTCAGAATTCACATCAATTATTATTAAATCCTCATATTGCACCGCCATCCATTTTCGCTACTTCCATATTTGAACAACTTCAAGATAATCTAGTGCCTTCTAATGATTTAATTACTTTTGAACTTAACACAGCAGGCTCAAACAATAGTGGGTTTGCTTTTAATACACCAAGCCCTGATGATACTGCTTTGAAGGCACAACGTCAAAGAAATACTGGTACATTAAAAGGTATTTTAATCCTTTTTGTCATATTCCAACCATTTTATATTATTAATATCTTGTTTATTTAATGATTAGATAAAGCCAAACAAGATGTTTCTTCTACATCATCAAATGCTTCAGCATCAAGTCCCATATTAAAAACAGCACAAAAGCCAGAATCCAAAGAAAAACAACTTACAACTGTTTTACTTGAAGAAGATAACGGCGCTGAAGTTTTATATGATAATAATGTTGATAAACAACTGAGATTTGATATGGAAGCGCTTAATCTTAACGTTGAAAATACCTCTTCTAAAAAAGTAACAAAATTGCCACCAAAAATATCACCTAAGCATAAGCGTATTAATGTTCTTGAAGAATACAAGAAACGGAATGATAATAAAGTGGCATTAAATTTAGTGGTTGTTGGTAAGTGTATAAACTTACATAGTACTTTGTGATTAATATTGGATATTATATAGGCTAACTATTTATACCTATGTATTAATATAAAGGACATGTTGATGCAGGAAAAAGTACACTAATGGGTCACTTATTGTATTTACTTGGTGAAGTCAATGAAAAGACTATGAAAAAATATGAAAGAGACTCTTCAAAAATTGGAAAGTCATCTTTTGCGTATGCGTGGATTCTTGATGAAACGGGTGAAGAACGTGCCAGGTATGATGTTTGCATGAATTATAAATTTTCAAAGCATATTAATTAGTATATTATATATACAATTAGTTTATTCAAATACTTTATAAATCTAGAGGTATCACAATGGATATTGCAATCACCAAATTTGAAACTGAACATAGAAGATTTACATTATTAGATGCTCCAGGGCATCGAGATTTTATTCCAAATATGATTTCGGGAGCAGCTCAGGTAGATGAAATTGTTTTCAGAAAAAAAAAATTATTTTTTTTTTATTAATAAATGGATTACCATTTTTAAATACTAGGCAGATGTTGCTATTCTTGTAATCGATTCTACTACTGGTGAATTTGAAGCTGGATTTGAAGCAAATGGTCAAACAAAAGAACATGCATTACTTGTTAGAAGTTTGGGTGTACAACAATTGGTTGTAGCAATTAATAAATTAGACGTTGTAAGTGTATATATTAGTTTATAAGAATACATTGATTTAAAATAAATAAATAATTTTTTTTTTTTTTTTGATCCACAGGTAGGTTGGTCACAAGATCGGTTTAATGAGATCATAACCAAGTTAAGTCCTTTTTTGAATCAAGCTGGATTTAAAAAGGATAAAGTAATATATATTCCTTGTAGTGGATTGACAGGAGAAAATTTGTTAAAGAGATCTCAAAATATTTTGGAGTGGTATTCTGGACCAACTTTATTTCAACAAATAGGTTTGTACAGTTTAACATAACTATGTTTTTGACCGTCTAATATAATATAACTTTTAATACATCTATAGATAAGTTTGAACCTCCTATACGACTTTTAGATAAACCATTTCGACTTTCAGTTTCAGATTTTTTTAAAGGAGGAATAAGTGGTATGGGAGGTATTACTGTTGCTGGAAAAATAGAAGCAGGAACTATTCAGATTGGAGATGATGTTTTGGTTATTCCTGGTGGTGAATATGGTGTAATAAAAGGTATAATTTATTTTTTAAAAAAAATAAAAATGGAAATTATTGAATATTAAAATATAATGAAATATTAATAATTAAAGGTTTGGAAGCAAATGATGAATCTTCAAAATGGGCAGCTGCTGGAGATTCTATTTTAATGACATTATCTGGATTAGACATTCTCCAACTTAAGTAAGCAATATATTTATTTGTTATAAAAATTTCCATTAATTATTAACTTTTTTATATATAGAGTTGGATCTATTTTGTGTTCAGTATCACATCCAGTTCCTGTAACATCATATATTTTAGCACAAATTGTTGTATTTGATATTAAAGTTCCAATTACAAAAGGATTTCCTGTAAGTCATATATAAATGATAGTATAAATTTTTCTTTAATTTTATTATTTAACTTATTATATATTTAGGTTATTCTTCATAGACAAAGTCTTAATGAACCGGCTATTATAACCAAATTAGTTACTATTTTAGATAAAAGTACAGGAGAAATTGTAAAGAAAAATCCAAGGTAAAACATTTAATAATTTATTAATTTCCAATAATTTAAAAATTAATTATTATTTTAATAAAATTAATAGATGTCTTCCTAAAGCATCATCTGCTACTGTTGAAATTAAACTTACTAATAGACCAGTTCCTTTTGAAACTTATAAGGAAAATAAAGAATTAGGAAGAATTATGTTAAGAAAAGGTGGAGAAACAATTGCTGCTGGTATTATTATTAATGTAAGTAATATTATAATTTATTAATTTTAATACTATATAAATCTAATATTTTTTTTTTATAATAGATATTATCATATAATTCTTAAATAAAAACAATTTCATTTCATTTTTTTTATTAATTTATTATTCTTTTATTTTTATTTTTATAAATTAAATTAAATAAAATATATTAGTTATAAATCTAATTAATAGGTAATATAGATTTGTATATAAATTATTTTTATTTTTTATTTTTTAATATATATATAATATGATTTATTAATAGGATTTTGATTGTATTAAAATAACACTATTAAAATTACAATTATCTAGTTGTTTAGTAAAATGTAAAGATTTTTATTTTTTTTAAAACAATTATTTAATTTTAAATATAATTAAAAAAATTATGATTTGTCATATATGTGATTTATCATTATACCCATTTGTCATGTGATTTGATTAATTTAATTATATAATAGTAGTCATAAGATTTGTGTAATTTTTTTATTGTAATAATGTAAAATAAACTATAATTACATAAATTATACTTTTAATAAACTTTCAATTATTAAGTAAATCAGTATTTCCTACAGCTTCTTTCTTTTTCTCTTAAAATATTTTTATTTTAACTATTCCTTTCATTAATATTTAAATGTAAAATTCTGTTTTATTACTAATATTGAATATAAATATATTTTTTTTATTAATATTAAATGTAAACTACTTTATGGAAAATATGAAAGAAGAGTTAAGTAAAGACATTTAAAACTTAGAATTTTGTATAGCTTAGAATTAGGGTCAAAATTAAAATTCAGGTTTAAATTAGAATAGTAGGTTAATGTTAAAAATGTAAATTTTAGAATTACTATACAATATTGTGAATAAACTAATACAGGTCAAAAAGTGAAAAATCAGTCACCAATTGGTCACCAATCAGGTAGCTGATTGGTGACTGATTGGTGACTGATTGGCATTTTTGCCAAATACCGTCACCAATCAGGCAGTTTGCTAACTTTTGATCCAGTAATCAGAAAAAGATAAAATATAGCTCATTGGAATCGTCTCAACAAGACAAATCTAATGGTAGTAAAATCGCATCTCTATGATTAATAGTTAATAAAAAATTAAATAAAATATAATTGATACATTTTTATTTTTATATTTTACTTAATTTCTCATCAAGTATTAATCCTAGAAATGCAATTTTACTACCATTAGATTCGTCTTGTTGAGACGATTCCAATGAGTTATATTTTATCTTTTTCTGATCACTGGATCAAAAGTTAGCAAACTGCCTGATTGGTAACGGTATTTGGCAAAAATGCCGATTGGTGACTGATTGATGCCTGATTTTTTACTTTTTGACCTGTGTAATAAAATAATTTTGTAAATAATTTTAAAATGTTTTTGAAAAAAAGAACAATATTAAAGTAAATCTATATCTTTACAGAAACTTAACATTTTTAATCAATATAGAATTGATATCATTAAGTTTATCTTAACAGCAGTGTTGGCATTTTCTGGAATCTGGAATCTGGAAACATGTATTCCAGATTAATTCCAGTGGTTTTGGAAGCATTGAAATCAAATTTCCAGATTCCAGAAACCATTGGAATCAATTTGGAATCAAAATTCCAATGTTTCAGATTCCAGATTCCAGTAAAATTTTCATTGGAAACTGGAATTTCCCACTGCTTAACAGTATTATTTTAACATTATTTCAATATTGATTTAATATCAATTTAATATCGATGTGATATCAAAATAAATTAATATCATATTAATATTGAATCAATATTAAATTAAGAAATAATGTATTTACCGCACTCTGCGTTACAAATTTATATATATTTTTATGTTTATCATTTGCCATTTTAAGGGGTGCGGTGTATAAACTAAAGATCGACATAAACAATTTACAAAAAAGGAAGGATGTGTTGTAACACAGGGTGCGGTAAATAAATTCACTCTTAAATTAATATCAAAATAATATCTGAAATGACATCAAAATGATATCTTTAAGTTAAACTTAAATATATTGTTTCGATGTTATTTCAATTATCATTTTAATATCATTTTGATACTATTTTGATATTATTTTAATATTAAAATGATAATATTTTATTTTGATATCATATTGATATTAAATTGATATTGAATCAATATTAAAATGATATCAATATGATATCATTTGAAAACTTAAAGTTTCTGTAAAGATAATAATTCATGATTATAATCAAAATACTAAAAATAGCAATCTTCTTATCAAACCTTTATTTAACATTAGTGGAAAAAATTAGTACATATAAATCATATTATGACCATATATTGTTATTAAATCAATAGAACAAAAAATATAAAAGTAAATAGAGTGATTTATTGAAATTAAATGGATATTTTCAAACTTTATTAAATCCTAATTCCTATATCTTAGATTATTTTTATTCTATTTAGCTAATTTAACTAGTAATAAAAAATTTGGATAATATTTATGCATTCTTTTTATATACAAAATTTAGTATTTCATACCTTACTATTATTCAAATATATATTAAATTAGAAGAGCTTAAAATAACTACTTATGGATGGTATGAATTTTAGTATTTTAATATAATTTGGTAGACAAATTTATTGGCAAATTGATTGATTTCAGATTACATAAATGTTTGTATAATTATACAAATATTAAATAAAATTTAAATATTAAAATATTAAATAAATTAGCCTATTATTAATATATTAAATTAAAATCTTATTAAATTTGTAGAAAATAAAGTTTAACCATTTTTCATTTATTTTTAAAATTTGTTAAACCTCTATAATATACAGAAATAAAAAGATATATCAGTAAATTTTTTAAGGTAAAAATTTGCAACGATCTCTGGTCTAAATTTCTACGCAGATTTGCTATCCTGTCAATGCATATCAGAGAAAAATTTTTAATAAAATCTACGCAGATCTGCAAATATTAAAAAATCTATACAGAATTTTAAAAATAAATCTTCAAAATATTAAACAAAAATTATTATTGAATGTTGCATTAATTAATTTTAAAGCTCTAATTGGTCCAGTCCTAATCTGGCAATCTGGCCTGAAAATTCAGATTGGTCAGGTCTGGGTTAGTGGTTTAATCTGTGAATATGAAATCTGGATATCCATACGGGTACACAGATATCTGAATATTAATTTTAAATAACAGATAAAAGATTACAGATATACAAATATCCATGGATATCTATACAGATATATATTAATTTTGTGTAACTTTGTTGATCAAAAAATGCGCGTCAGTGATTAAAAAAAGGCTTATTATAGTCTAGTCTTTGTTATAATAATGTCTAGTGAGGAGTTGGCAGATATTCCGCAGCCAGAAAATCTTAAAACCTTAACTTGTGGGTCAAAAAGGCCAAGGCAAAGGGTATGTGAACTATTAAATCAGCAAAATTTAGCTCCAAATGGACCTTTAATTGAGCCAGAGTCAGACACGGATTCTACAAATAACCAGCATAAAACTGGCAAGAATAATAAGAAACGCAATAAAGTTTCAACAAAACTGATTTAAATAAAATAGCTAACCAACTAGTTTTAATTCCAAATGCTAAACCACCAGGATAGAGTTGGATATGGAGTTACTTTGAACAATATGAACCAACTGAACAATATAGAAGGATTGTAAAGTGTTTAGTTCAAGTTCAACAGAAAAATGGTGTAGAAACATGTAGTCATTTTATGGGTTCTGATAATTCTACTGGCAATTTTATTGTTCATCTTTCTACACATAGAATTACTGAAGAAAGCCATAGAAGAAGGATGAGTGAAATACGAAATAACAATCAGCTATCACAAACACGTATAGATGAAATTATTAGAAATAATCCAGACATTAAAAATAGTCAGGACAGGAAGTTTGTTGGAATATTGATTAAAGATAATAGACCAATTAGTATATGTAATGATGAAGGTTTTGTCAAATTTATTCATGAACTTGATCCAAACTATCAAATTCCAAGTGATAAAACAATTCAACAACTAATAGCTGAGTCATACAATCAAATCAAGGTTGTTTTAACAAAAAAATTTAGTAAAGATGTTATTTCTTATTCTATCATAACGGACTTATGGACAGCACGAAGTAGAAATAGATGGATATATTGGTGTTACGTATTCTTTTATTGATAACAATTTTAATATCTGCGAAGCAATTTTAGCAGTTCAATACATTCCATATTCTCATACAGGTGATAATATTTATGAAGTATTACGTGATATTATTTCAAATTGAAATTTAAATGGTAAAGTCTTTACAATGACGACCCAATATGGTAAAAGCTGAAAAATTAATGAATGAACTTACAAGACTCCCCTGTACAGCTCATACATTACAGCTTGTTGTAGGTAAAGGATTAATACCAGCAGAAGTTTTAATTGCACGAGCTAAAAGACTAATAAATTTTTTTACATCACCTAAATAAACGGAAAAATTACTGGAGATTCAAAAAAATACCAACCATTTTAATAATAATGAGGTAATTAAATTTTTATTTATTACTAATTTATTAGATTATTTATTACTCTATTATGCTAAAAAAATGCACTCCATTTTATTAAATCAATTTATTTAGTATTAATTAATGTATTTTCTTCAAAAAATTATTTTATTATAGAATTTAGAAAATAATGATGAATACCTCCAAATGATTGCTGATGTAGAAACTCAGTGGAATTCTAGCTATCTTGCATGGAAACGTTTAATAAAAATCAAAGATCTTATTGATGTCCTGGCATCTACTATGTTGATTGATCCTGATGCTTCAACACGGCGTGATGGAAAAATGACTAAAAAAAATAAATTTAACAGAAAATGAATGGCAAAAAATCAGTAAATTAATTATAATTTTGAAAGATTTTGCCAGAGCAACTGAATATTTAGGCGGGAGTAAATACACAACCATTAGTTTAATGTATAATGTATTAACAATAATTAATTAAAAAATTTTACCAGATGATAATTCAGATGTGGAAGTTATAGATTTAACCAGTCAAAA